TTGTTGTACCTCTATTGCCACTCCATAATGTGGGCTTTTTCATCATGTCCGACGAGTCTTTGGGCTCTGTTTAATGATCAAATTGCCCTTCGTGGGGTCCATACCATATTAAGTTGATTCTATCTACATTTTTGACAGCTTAATAAAATAGCAACAAAATGTTTACCAAATTATGTGGGATCATGTGGCTTCATCCCACGAGCCGAGAACTTCAACCCATATGTGATCACAAAAGGGCGATGATGGTGATGATGAGAATGGAAAAGATGGAGACTAGCATATTCCATCCCGATGCTTGTGGTCGACGGTGTTAGTTCCTTTAGGAGGAGAAGAATAAAGCCATTGCATTAAGACGCAAAGAAAAATCCATGCAAAGAACAAAAAGAGAAAAAGAAAAATAATAACATTGCATTGCCATAGTAAGAATGTAAAGGAATATAGAAATCTTAGAAAGCAAAGGAAAAGAGCAATACATAATTGAAATGAAGAGATGTCTCACTTATTTGAAAAAGGAAATTGATGATGAATCAATTGAAGCAAAAAAGGAAGTTTGATGATGAATCAATTAAAGCAAAAAAGGAAGTTCATGATGAATCATTTGAGATGACCTGAACCTTTATATTTATTGTGATGGAAAGTGCAAAAGAGGCTCTCACGGTGCACAATTTACTACAACCTATTAGGCATCCTACTAGCCCATCATTGCATTTTTTTTTTTCCAAAGCAAATATGACAAAGACCATTTATTTGTGTTCTCTCATCATTTGCCAAAGCAGTTCTCCCACAAAAATGATAGGAAAAAGTTGAATACTTGCCTGTCCTCTATCATGGCCATGACGAAATGCAATGCTTAAAAGGGTGTTATGATGTGTCTTCCATTGCTTGATATAAACCCTTCATCAACAGCCAAATCAATGAAGGATAGCAGTGAATTGTAATACTCATCAACATTCAGAACACTGACTTGAAAGCCATTTTTTTCTTTAAAGCAATGCTTTGGAAAGGATGCAAGAATCTCATACAATAAGAATCTCATGCATTAAGAAGTATTTCCAGAACCCCTTTAGGTGCCTGAAGATGCGTGCTAAACAAGTCTGAGTATGATATTTTGAGTATTGTGCATGTTTAACATTATAATTGGGTACAGTGCCAACTGTTAAACCTCCAGAAAGATTCATACCATATTATATAACATGTGTAATGTAATACCCCAAGAGGGTAATGTGATTAGTATTGATAGATTTGATTGGAATACTCATACCACCAAGATGCATCTTCTTTTCGGGAACCTAACTCTTAGAAACTCCAAAGTTAAGCGTGCTTGGCCTGGAGAAATTCTAAGATGGGTGACCCACTGGGAAGTTTTCCAGGGAGCGCGTGAGTGAGGACAAAACGTGCTGAAAAGACATGTGGTGGTTTGTGAGGCCAGTCCATCAGATCTAATAACGTACCGACTCCGGGATTCCGGGGCGGGGCGTTACAAATGGTATCAGAGCCAAACCAACCGGAATTGTGAGAGCTAAGTGCTATGCGGCGCAAAGTGCTACGTCAAGAGGGCGGGAGCCACCTCTTGAGGCCGTAGGAGCCACCTCTAGAATCTCACACGGATGGTACGGTCTTAGATGATATGGTTTGGCACAACGAGGACGTTGTGAGTTTAAGTGGGGGAGTATGTAATACCCCAAGAGGGTAATGTGATTAGTATTGATAGATTTGATTGGAATACTCATACCACCAAGATGCATCTTCTTTTCGGGAACCTAACTCTTAGAAACTCCAAAGTTAAGCGTGCTTGGCCTGGAGAAATTCTAAGATGGGTGACCCACTGGGAAGTTTTCCAGGGAGCGCGTGAGTGAGGACAAAACGTGCTGAAAAGACATGTGGTGGTTTGTGAGGCCAGTCCATCAGATCTAATAACGTACCGACTCCGGGATTCCGGGGCGGGGCGTTACATGTAAAGCATGTAAAGATATTGAAATCCAACCTGAGATTCATGGATGTATGAACTTGATTACATGAAACATGACCCAATACATGATGGACTTTTATACATGCGTGAGATTTAAAAACATGATCCTAAGCACAAGATACATGAAAAATCAATAACTTATTAATTAGGTGTGTTTGGTAATCAAAGTGATTTTATTGTAGTGTTTTTGTAGAAAAACACCATGTCATGGTGTTTTTTTCAAACATGTTTTGAAAACACCATTTATAATTATTATTTATATAGCGGTGGTGGTGGCGGCGGGCGGCGACGGCCGGGCCGACGGATGGCAGGCAGACGATGACTATTGGCGGGTGGCTGGCCGGCCGCACGGGCGGCGCCGCTGTGGGCAGCGGCTTAGATGAAAAAACATAATCTCAAAACACATTTTTGGTGTTTTGAGAAAAGTGTTTATTTTTTGGATTTTGTAAAGGGTCAAGTCAAAAAAACGTCCCGGTTGCCAAACACGTTTCATTGTCCAAAAAAAAAAAATCAGAAACAGCAAAAACGCCACGGTTTCCAAACGCTCCCAATTATGGGACTTGTTTTTTATTTAAGAATATACTATCATAAATCACATCCAAAATATTCTCATAAATCCTGTGTAACATGGTCATTGATGGAGCATAGTTAGCTGAGGAAGCTAAATAAATGACATGGACAAGGGTAAAACTAGATATGGGTTTCGTGCCATAAACACATGTAAGTTATATATTTAGTTACTTTTCAGAACAAATCATGAGAACATTATTGACTAAAATAAAAACTCAGTACAACATACGCTTACTTTTGTATGTTTCTGATAGTTCTGTTCAATTCGCACTTGGTATGCTTCCAAGTATAGATCACCTCTTCTTTTATAACCCTCTTTATTTCCCTAATTGACTGACTAAGCAAATCTTACTTGGGAATTCTTTGTAATTTGAAGCCTTAATTTTAATGATGTGTTGACTCATGGTATCTTCTTGCCAGGTGACATTCCAGAAAAGAATGCACTTTCATTTAGGGTCAAACTTTCTAACCTTCAATTTGAAAATTTTCAAGTACACTCAAACAACATATCATGCAATTAAGCTGATCTCTTCTAAATTTGTTTTACGGATACCAATTCCATACTGTTACTTTGTAAGCTTAATTGGGGATGTATAACTGGACAGAATGTCTGACATGTCATCCAAAATTTTATTTTGTAAGGCTTGCTGCAATGCAAAGGGTTTTGCATGACATTTATTATTTTTGGGTAATTATCTGCGATATATTTGAATTCTCATGATATATCAAGTGATTTTTTAGATTTTTTTTGATAGATAAAGCAACACTTGAAAAAGTGGGCAAAATGAACGCATATCAAGTTTCCAGTTAACATGTTTTACAATTTGAGTTTGAGTTTATGGGTCACTTGATCCCTAGACCAAAACATGAACCCTCGTTATATAAATCTTACAATAATAGTAGAGCTTAATTTGCCTCGCCTTTTTTCGTGTCAAGAGTCTCTTTCCCCTCTTCTATCTGTCCTTCCTTCACTTTAGACTGTACATTGCTAGCAGTAAGCCCCTCCCTTTCTCGTTCTCCCTGCCTCTCTCGTGACTCCTCTTAGTTCTCAGGCTCTCAGCCCCCTAAACATTACATAATTTTACTTTTTTTTTTAAGTTAGGATTTCCTTGAGTATGTCTATGTTATGTATATGAATTATCCTTGCTGATATTTCAATTTTTACTAAATGTCCCTGGGTATTCGGATATCAGCCACATCCGATATGTGGGATTGTTCCACCTGATATACTACATTTATAACACTCAGGGGTAAACAAAGCGGATGTGAGCAAATACAAATCGTCAAGTTCTAGGTATCTTGAATGGAATGGAGAGTTGCCTGCTATTGAGTTGGCTCTAGTTAGGTATTGCATAAACACTAAAAATAGCTTACTATTGTTCCTTTCGAACATAATTTTGGAGGAACAATGCGAAGTTATTTAATTCATCTTGTGCCTTGTGAACTTAGTTTTGGTAGAACAATGCGAGAACTCTTTATGCCTTCGCTGCGTTGTTGTATGTGTACTATAACAATTTACTTTCGTGAATAAGCAATTTACCTAGTAGAAACCTACAGTATACATGACTGGATTCTTTTTGGGGTGGTGAGTACCCGTTGTAGTGATACAAGTTGAAAAAAATATGCAGTTTTCATGAAAACAGTTGAATATTATATTTTATACACCTTTAATTGTCTTGAGAAAGACTACGGGTGGAGAGAAACGCCCTAAACATCCTAACAACTCGTAGCTGTTGACCGGGCTGCAAATGCGCCAATCATATCTATTTAAATATTTGACATCTTTTGGCCTTCTCATCTACCATTTCCTACCAAATAATTTTAGTAGAAGGTGCAGAGTTTGATGGAGTAATTGTAGCAATTAGTTCTTATGGGTTACAACAGTCATAAGATCATGTGAAGGGTCCAGTATATTTAATGGCTTACTGCCATTTGTGACCTTATCTCCTTATTCCTTCTTTTGGCCAAATGAACATTATTGACATGCGGTGTTAAAAAATTACTCTCCCGTGAGGCCGTGTAATATTCAATGTCTTGCATTAACAGTTCACTAGGTTAATTTGCTTCATTGCACAAAGCTCTGCTACCATCAATTCATAGGCCTGTATCTTGTAGTTGGCTTAGCTTCTGAGGATCACTTTTTTCCAATCTCGTTTAGCATTCTTTAGGTTTTGGTTCGCTACCTTAAATACTTTCCTGTTTCATTCTTTTCTATGTACGTATTGGTGACTAATAGTCTGCTTCTGTCCTGGTATTTTACTGATAATTTTTAAAAAAATTTAATTTTGTAATTGCTCTATACATAATACATTTGTCTGTCAATTGTAATGCCTGCACATATAGCTCAGCCATCTCACTTGACCTTCATACTCACCTTCTAGTTATGATTTATTGCAACATTATGACACGGTATGGGAGGACAAGCTGACAACATCTCTTTGGTTTTTGGTTTTTATTGCAGGGGGGGCCAGCCCAGATCAGCTACGGTTTGGTATTCTAACAACAAAGTTCAGTCCCAAGCCTACAGCCAGCCCTGCAGAAAAGAATAAGACGGACGGTCCAATACTTCACGATAATGAAAGATTCAGCTACCAGTGTGCTTTCTTTCATGCATGGAGGTTTGGTTTATGGTTGCAGTTGAGCCATTAATGCACTCGGAATCTAGGGGCCCTCTTGATCTCTGACAGAAATTAGCATCAGTTTCGTGTACAAGCCGTTTCCCTATGTGCATGCATTGATGACCGGTTAGTTGGCCTCGCTGTTAGCTTCTTCATCATCAGAGACGCATATCATTTGCTGCCTCGCCTATCGCGTCGTTGTTCCTGTACTCTCTAGAGCGCTATTCTTTTGTGTAACCTTCCTTTTAATGTTGCTCCTTTTGATCTTAATCGGATAACGATGAGCGCGTTATTGCGGAATAGAGCATCGGACAGCACTCATATGCTGGGCTGATGTTAACATTTAACACTGCACTCAAGTCGATATATACAGTGTTTAATTGGACAGCTATAGGTGATTATGTTAAATTATTGTTATAAGCGTGTCTTATGACTGGAAAATGAAACAGGCTTCCTCCGCTGGGATGGTGATAAATGCAGGACATTAATTGTTTGTTTCTCTACGCATATGATAAAATTATGTGATATATGTGACTCAATTTGCTTTAGCAAGCTATTTCTGGTGTATTCTTGATTTGGTGTTGTCAAAATGATGGTCTAAATTTGTGCCTGAAAAAAGACCATGGTCTTAATGATTGGTCCAAATAATTTCTCTTGAATCGCATGGTTTTTTTAATTCTTTATTTAGCTTTAGAAGTTTGTAATCAGTAAGAGTCAAAAATTCAAAGGACGTTGTCACTACATCAAAAATCTAAGGTCATGTGGGGTGAGAGTTATAATTTTATAATCTGACATTATTAATATGGTGAAAGTAATCTTTTGATTTTATTTTCTGCCGTCATCGATAAGATAAGTTGCTTATGATGCGGGGTGGAAGACTTACAAGGTGTTGTGTAACTGTTTAATCTTTTTTCATAAATTGGAGTGATTTATGCCATACAATTAATCTAATCATACAAGATAATGTTGTGATATTGTACCACCAGGACATTAGAGATCACCAACCTTATGATGTTAATAGACATATATGCATCACATCTATGCAAAATGCCAGCTGCTTTTTTTCCAGAAGATAGAACCCTTTTTTTATTTTTTATATAGGATCCCTATTCAAAAGGATACGATAACTTGGGCTGGATAAAGCTTGAACTAAATAGAAGTATAAGGTTTAGGTAGCTGACTCCCAAAAAGGAAAAATGCTTACGAGCTTACTTGGTTATCAATCAAGAGTGAACAGGTGGAGGCAGCCAAAACAGTTAAAGATATTTATAATTTAATTAAAGTAGCAATCATATGTCAAGTCGGATATAGCTTATGACGGACACTGCATGACTCGGTACCAACAAGAATCAACCGTGTTTATCAAGAAAATGAAATGAAAATAATTAGTAGTATATATATTCTCATATAGATCGAATAACTAGATTCAGATGTTGTCATCCGCAATGTCTTTCTATCTAAGCCGTACGCATAACCAAACGCGAGCTGTAAAACTGTTCATGTTTTCAGCTTTTCATCTCAACATTGTGAAAAATAGTGGAGATATCACTTCTAACGCAGCACACAATTAAAAACCTCATAACCCACCAAGTAGTATTATCTGAATTCACAAAAAATGATTTTCGAATCCACAAAGAAAATATTAAAGAGGAATTTTATTGATAAAAAAATAATACCTCTAGGGTTTACAATACTCTGCTTAAATAGAAAATAAACAAGACTCCGCTCAAACTTTGCCAAAAATAGAAATGACAAAATTCTCCTTAAAAGACTTTCTATAATTAGTGAAGTAAATTGGTCAAATTTAGAATCAAAACGGATTTGCTTTCTAATCAAAACAGACTCCTAAAACATTACCTAACTAAAATAGTAAAAAACTAACAAAAACTTTGATATCTCTCAATCCGGAGGGAATTTTGCGAAACAGACGGCGGGAAACCAAACAACGGTGAGTTTGGTTGACTCCATCTCGAAAAAACACGCGATTTACATATATAATTCGTCTAATTCTGACGTACGGTTTGAGAGATATAACTCGTTCTTTGTTAAAATTTATTTTCTTCGGCTGGGCCCGCGTTTGGGCTTTTGATGGTCCGGTTTCTCCATAAATATATACGCAGTTTGTTCTACATCAACTTCTTTTTTAACAATCGGTAAACTGTGTAGTGGGTAGTTGTAATTTATTCCAAATTAGTGACTGCAATTGATAAAAGAAGTTGTCTTTCCACTACTTTTTCATAGTGGAGAAAATTTAAGTCCAATAAGTTGCAACACGAAATACCTATCTGTTGAGGATCGACGTCGTCTTGTTTGGCTCAGAAGCCTGCTCAACCAGTCCGATCTACTCTCTTGTGATAAAAGAAGTTGTCTTTCCACTACTTTTTCATAGTGGAGAAAATTTAAGTCCAATAAGTTGCAACACGAAATACCTATCTGTTGAGGATCGACGTCGTCTTGTTTGGCTCAGAAGCCTGCTCAACCAGTCCGATCTACTCTCTTGTGCACCACCAAGAACACAAGCTCAGGTAGGGGAGAGGATCTCACAACCGGTAAGAGCACCAAGCTCAGGATCTCGACACCGACTCTTTTTCTCACACCGAGCTACTACTAGCCCTTCACCTTATATAGGGAAGGGGGCAGCCGACACGAGGTAGGAGAGGCAAGGGTTCCCGATGGTTGGATCCGACCTACAGGGATGAGATCCCTAGACGCAGCGGCGCAAGACAAGGTGGAACGAACAAGGGCCTGCGGCGCAGGACAAAGGGGACGAACAAGGGGGACCCGTGCTGAGGTGAACCGTCGGGTGAGAGAGAGACAACAGAGGGATAGACAGATATTTTAGGGAAGCTGGGCTTTTGGTAATGGGTCAGAGCTTGGGCCAACAAATAATAGCAATACTATCTGAGCGAGAAGAAAATGTACAAAAATATGGAGAAACTCTTATTATGCATATAATTAATGACGACAGATGATTTCTGTACTAATTCAAAAATCCATTATGTAGAGAATTATTTTGACTCTCACAAGCTTCCAGAAAACGACAATGCCACTTGCTAAGTTCACTTGATGGAAATTGATTTTGCATTAAGTTTCAAAACATACGTTTAGGGGGTTGCATTTTAAAAATATTTAATCTAATGAGATTTTAAAATACATTTGTTTATTTTAGTCTTTTTATAATACATTTTAAAATTTGAGTGATCCCAAATTGATTGTACCAATTTAAATTGTACCAAATTGTCTCATTTCTACAATAATCAAGTTTCAAAACATATTTTTAAAATTCTAATTGAATTATAGAGGAACATACCATGCTAACACGTGCTTGAGCAAATTTGATCCTCGAAAGAAGTCGACATCATGTGCTTTGTTAAATTTTCTATTCTAATCCAAGTGGAGTTCTAGTTGACCTTTTCTTTTGTAATTGTATGGTTTGACTTAGTAGGTATTATGGTGAGTGGATAAAATTTATTTTCTTCGGCTGGGCCCGCGTTTGGGCTTTTGATGGTCCGGTTTCTCCATAAATATATACGCAGTTTGTTCTACATCAACTTCTTTTTTAACAATCGGTAAACTGTGTAGTGGGTAGTTGTAATTTATTCCAAATTAGTGACTGCAATTGATAAAAGAAGTTGTCTTTCCACTACTTTTTCATAGTGGAGAAAATTTAAGTCCAATAAGTTGCAACACGAAATACCTATCTGTTGAGGATCGACGTCGTCTTGTTTGGCTCAGAAGCCTGCTCAACCAGTCCGATCTACTCTCTTGTGCACCACCAAGAACACAAGAGAAAAGCAACTATTACACAGTCTCTCTCCAGATCTCACAAAGAGGTAAAAGCACAGAGCTTTGAAGGAGCACAGAGCTCAGGTAGGGGAGATGATCTCACAACCGGTAAGAGCACCAAGCTCAGGATCTCGACACCGACTCTTTTTCTCACACCGAGCTACTACTAGCCCTTCACCTTATATAGGGAAGGGGGCAGCCGACACGAGGTAGGAGAGGCAAGGGTTCCCGATGGTTGGATCCGACCTACAGGGATGAGATCCCTAGACGCAGCGGCGCAAGACAAGGTGGAACGAACAAGGGCCTGCGGCGCAGGACAAAGGGGACGAACAAGGGGGACCCGTGCTGAGGTGAACCGTCGGGTGAGAGAGAGACAACAGAGGGATAGACAGATATTTTAGGGAAGCTGGGCTTTTGGTAATGGGTCAGAGCTTGGGCCAACAAATAATAGCAATACTATCTGAGCGAGAAGAAAATGTACAAAAATATGGAGAAACTCTTATTATGCATATAATTAATGACGACAGATGATTTCTGTACTAATTCAAAAATCCATTATGTAGAGAATTATTTTGACTCTCACAAGCTTCCAGAAAACGACAATGCCACTTGCTAAGTTCACTTGATGGAAATTGATTTTGCATTAAGTTTCAAAACATACGTTTAGGGGGTTGCATTTTAAAAATATTTAATCTAATGAGATTTTAAAATACATTTGTTTATTTTAGTCTTTTTATAATACATTTTAAAATTTGAGTGATCCCAAATTGATTGTACCAATTTAAATTGTACCAAATTGTCTCATTTCTACAATAATCAAGTTTCAAAACATATTTTTAAAATTCTAATTGAATTATAGAGGAACATACCATGCTAACACGTGCTTGAGCAAATTTGATTCTCGAAAGAAGTCGACAGCATGTGCTTTGTTAAATTTTTTATTCTAATCCAAGTGGAGTTCTAATTGACCTTTTCTTTTGTAATTGTATGGTTTGACTTAGTAGGTATTATGGTGAGTGGAAGGAAATGTATGAGCTAATTTACACTCAAGAGATGAAAGAGAAGTTATATAAAAATAAAAAGGGTTGTTTGTAGTTAATTGGTTCATAGTTTATGCATTGATTCAAATTGAATTTTAAAAGTCTAGACTCTACATCTTGTTATTATAATTATTTGATTAACTTTGTCTTATACTATTTTGTGACTGATTGAGAAGAAATTCATAGTCTTGAGTTAAAATTTTTGACTAATTATCAGTCGGTGCTCAAAAGACCCAAAGCAATAAAGAATAAAGTGCATCATTCTCTAATTTTACATTATGTAGTTTCTATAAAACTCTGGTCTTCCCATGGTTTAAACGTTGATGCCCCTCCAATACAGTTGTTTCAACTTCTTGGAGAGAAGAGTTGCAAGCCCCCCGACATGCAACTAAGATAGACCAAAAAGTGAACATTGACATTCTAAAATTCTAAATATGATTTTATTCTTGACCAAATATTCTTAGGGAGAGTAGGAGATGCATTTAATAAAGAGTTATGGATAATTATTTAAAGATTAATTATAATCAATGGTATAATTACGAATTATCAAAATTTAAAAGGGCAAAATAGGAAATTAAAAGTTTTGACATGGGTATTCTCTTTTATAAGTAGTATAGATATAGATAGATTTTACTAGGAATTTTTCCCAAGCTAGGCTTAGCCTTCAAAATTCTAGCCTACTGTTTCCGTACTTGGATCAAGATTGTGACTCTCCGAACGTCCACATGAATGCACGTTATATCCGCTCATAGCCTTAAATGCCAAGGCCCCAAATCCAACCGTAACCAAATCCATATTCACTTAACGCTTCTCTCTCTAGCTAGCTTCCTATATAACCCCCGTGTGTCCCTTAATTTCACTGTCCAACCCACTCTCTTTGCCCTATACAAATCTCAACCAATTCCTACTCCAAGAAATGGCTGAGTATAGGATGCTTGGAGTGTTACTGGTAGTCTTGATGTTGGTTAATAATGTGAGTTGTGCTCCTGAAGTCCCTTGTTACTTCATCTTTGGTGATTCGTTGGTTGATAATGGCAATAACAACAATATGGCGTCGTTGGCTCGGGCCAACTATGCCCCTTACGGTATTGATTTCCCCGATGGACCAACCGGGAGATTCTGCAATGGATTGACTACAGTTGATGTCGTAGGTAAGCTAAACGTATACATGAGACTCATAAATTTACTTTTTCTCGCACCTTCTACTGTACCTCTTCCTCTTTTCTTCCTTCGCTGTTTGTGTTTTATATTAAAAAAAACTAGCTACTCTCTAGTTGAAAAGGGAAAAAGAAAAAAAAGTGTGATCTGATATTTTTCATCATTGGTAAGAAAGATATCATTTTCAGTAGAAATTAATTGGGAAAATTTCTCAAATTAAGCTTGAAATTTTTTTTATGATATTTCAAATACCAAATTTCATAGTTTTGGATTATTCTAAAAGTACTTTTAACTTGATTGCACCGCTTGCCGTGTCTTTTTAGAATTTTGACTTTGAGTTGTGCTCAATTACTAATACTTTTACTGTTGTTCTCTTTACCTAATTCTTACTTTTCTAACAATTAGTCAAGCCCTAGTGAGACTAAAGTGGCATATATTTAGGAACGGTACAACTAGTACCGGACTAAGATAAAGAAATAGTTGTTTTTCTTTTCGAATACAAGCAAAAGTGGAAAGTTTCGCTACAAGGCTAAGAAATTATCTTACATATATCTCACATATAACAAACATTCATATTTTAAATTGTTTTTGAATTGTCAAACATTTTTAGCATTTTCACTTCGATCTGCTTGTGTTCAAATACTAGAGCTTGACAGTGTCGGTACATTAAGGAGGAGGATTTACTTTTTCCCCCCCTGAGGAAGAGGAAAGAAGCTAATCCTTCTTTATTTTTATTTTTTTTACTTCGGTTAGTTACAGTTATAGTCACGGGAACTGTACTGTATGGTGGCTACGAGGCTTACCTCATGTTGTTTCAGCTCATTTTAAAGGGGAAAGAAAAACTGAAAATATAACAAAAAAGATAAAAGTTGAAAAAGAAACAAAAAGAGAGAAGAGAAACTTTAGTCTCATCTTTCTTATAAATGCTGGTCAGTTAACTTACATTCTTGCGGATTCAGGATTTTATTTGATAATCACTTTAGCTGAGCTAATTTTGAGAAATTAAAAACCAAAAAAGTTACTTCGGATGAGTCTAGCAATTAGTGACTTAGAGGACCTTTTTCTAAGTTTGCAAGCAAGAAGAAGAATTTCTAAATCCAAAGTGAGCTCACAATCTATTGTACATTAGAGTAAAAGCAAATGCTTTTTATACTTGTCTGTTTTCGATCCCAAAGTCCCATGCAATAAAGGTGTGCAATACTTGGTTTTCCTGTTCTGGCATAGAAAAGACAACAAAAAATAAGGGAAGAAATTATTCATATTAGTAGAGATGGAAAATTTATCGGAGTAATTCGATATAACATGCATGCACGCATTGATAGTGTGTATATGTATGTTTGTGTGTGTGTATATAGAAACAATTGATGGCAGATAATTATTAAACTAAAATTTTTTATTTTGGTATATTAAGTTTTTCAGTTATTAGAATAAAAATCACATTAAAATATTCCCACATGTGAATTATTAAACTGAAAATTTTTATTTTGGTATATTAGGTTATAATTTCAGTTATTAGAATACAAATCACATTAAAATATTCCCACATGTGAGCCATTCAATTTTCTCACGGCTATGATATGACTTGTACTTGCTTTTATAAACCGCTAAATTAATATGTTCATGATCATATTTGAACATGAGCACCCACAGGAGATTCTAAATGGCTATTATGGTCTTAAGTTTAATTCAAGTAGGCTATATCCTATATATAAATATTTTCTAAACATGATAAACTTATATATGTAGAAAATTTGAAAGGTTCACAAATACTTCACGTGACTATATATAAGTTTCAATATAATGATTTTCAAATGGCATACTCACGGGATACCGCCTCTAACTAGTGCAACTTTAGGATCAAATCTTTAATAAAAGACCTGATTGCTATGTCACTTATTTATCTTCCGTGAAACACGTCGAAACACCAAATGAAGGATTCGTTAGGGTTAACCAAACGGGCCGGTCTGGCCCGGCTTGGCTCAGATTTTCGGGTCTGGTTCAGGCAAAATGCCTAGTCTGGACTCGGACCCGGACCCGAGGTGTCCGGGCTGGGCTCGGACCCGGGTCCGGAGCAAACCTGGCCGGGCTCCGGGCCGGCTCTTTTTTTTTATTTTTATATTTTTGATTTTTTTTGCTAAATTTTGATTTAAAAATTAGATTAATCTCATTATATTTATATAAGTATGTATTAGTATATACTTACATATTAGTATATAGCTATATATTATATTTAAGTATATATAAGTATACATTAATGATAAAA